AAGTTAATCTATTGGACAAAAATGATGTAATAAATTTTTAGAATTATCACAAGTTTAATTTGATATCTATACATTAATCTACATGTTATTCTTATTCTAATGCTGTTACTACAAGACCTAACCTTAAATCATATTATGATATTGATGGTAATATAAATCTATCTAATCACAAAAGGGTAGTATGCCAAATAGAGAGTCTACATCGTATCATTAATAATTGCAAATACAGTAAAAAATGTAAATGTTCTCCAATATAATATGACTTATGGCTTGATGAAATAGTGTCTATAATTGCTCAGATACAAAGTCATTTGATTGGAAAAATTGTATAAATTAATCTAAGAGGCTAAATATATTATCTTATGAATAATGACCTTACTGATCTTAAATTAAGACCCTTCACAAGAATATATCTTTCTCTAATATTCACAATACTTATCTGCCTCAGAAAGGTAAGACATTTCGCTCGGCTTATAAAAATTTAAATTTTATTAAGAAAAGAAAATTTAATAAATCACACAAAATTGTTATTAATAATTACATATTAAATTTTTATAAAATAATTTCTAAAATTTAAGAAATAAAATAAATATAAAATCATATTTCTAGCATTTGTGATTGATGAGTTATAAGTTTCTAAATATAACTAATTTTCTTTTAAAAGCAACTAATTGTATTTTATTTATAAATTTCTATTATATATAAAAATCATTATATCATTATAAATACTATAATTTATAATTTTAATAATTTTAGTTATATATAATCAAATATATTTATTGTGTCTAAAATAAGTATTTATTAAAGATTTAATAAATATTTTAAATAAATATTTTATATTAGTAATTATTAAAAAGAAAAATTATAGCTACAACTTTTTATTAATTGTAAAAAGTAACTGTAAAAAATTTATTAATTTTATTACGGTAAAAGAAAATATTTTAAATGGTAAAAATTAATAATTAAAAATTATATTTTACTGTAATAGTAAAAATTTAATTAATATATACTAATTTTTTTTAAAAATTTTAATTGGATTTTAGTTGGTAAGTTATTATTTGTTATATACTTTATAAAAATTTAAACGTTACTTAATTTTATTTAAAAATATTATAGATCGTAAGTTTTATTTATTTTAATAAATTAACTATAATTTTAAATTATATATATATTTAAGACAATATAATATATAATCTTAAAACTCTTTTTTCTAGCAAACTTCCCATATAATCAACTTTTATAATAACTCCGATTTATATCTTTATTGGATTAATAAATCAATCTTATATTGAAAAACCAAATTATTTCTTAATTATATTAAACTAAGATCTTGTTTATCAAACAATTTTCATATTTAATCCTATTGATTAATCATTACTTCAATATACATTATAATATATAAGAGTGTTTCTTGATTAGTAAGAAGGGTTAATATTAGTCCAAGATCATTAACGCTGTAATTTGAAATGTAAATATCTGTAATCCTATGATCCTTAATTTTTTAGAATACAAAAACAAAAAGAAAAAGCCCAAAATTTGGAAGTTACAAACTTTAGAATTATGTTGGAAGGTGGTTGTAATATTTATTATGTACAAATGTTTTAATATTAAATTCATATAAAAAAAGGATAAAATAAAATAAAATAAAATAATATATTACGTAGGCATAATTTAAGTATACTTAAAAATGGTGGATTCAAGTCGATTGTCGCCGTAGAAGAAAGATAATCCATTATCTAATTTTAAGTCTACATTCTAGAGTATTTCAATAAAGAATATCCACAGTATTATATATTAAAAAAAAAAATGTGAAATTAACACATAATATAGAAAAATACTTTTTCAGCGTAAAAAGCTGCTTCACCTTCCTTATATACTGTTATATATATATATTTATTTATTTAAACACAATATACCTATTCTGACCTACGGTTGTGAAGTTGATTGTTGAGATTGTGATATACCGCCCACATTAGCTTGCGCTTGTTGAGCAGGTTGCTGAGGTATCTGCGCTTGTTGTCTTTGAACAGCGTGTTGTTGAACGAGTTGCTGTTGAACTAATTGTGTATTTTGTATGGGTGCATGAGCTCCTTGCAATAATCGTGCTCGGAGTTGCTGATTATAAAATTGAGCGTGTGCTGCCTGTTGCATGGTCATCTGTTGTGGATGAATACGATGCATTGCTGCACGTTGCTGTAAGGCCAAAGCTTGTAAGTTATTCGCAACCATTCCTACTTGAGGTCTTGTTTGTGTAGCAAGATATGACAATCCTGGATTAGCTTGTGGTGGTCTTACGATCATAGGTGTCTAAAAAACGATATTAAGAACAAAAAATGAATATAAAAGTTCAGGAAATAATAATATATAAAAAATAAAATAAAAATAAAATTTATATTTCATACCCTAGAATGACTTTGGAAAGCGAGTACTGCAGCTTGCCGTTGTTCCAATAAAGCTGTTTGAAGTTGACGTTCCTGATCGGATTTCAGTTTACTGAGTTCAATCGGTGTCATTACATGATGATTAATAGGAGTCGGTTGGTCATGGTTTTTCCTATTTTGTACTATGTTCAAAATTGAATTGGCTGTTAGTATTTGAAAACTTATGATAAATGAAAGGCTCATAACGCGTTTAATGCACACATTGCTTTTGATTTGAATCTGCTCGTTTCTTTGCGGCCTTTTTCATAGCCTCAGCTAAACTAGAGTGTCTACGAGGCTTTGTAATGTCTCGCTTTTGAACATTCTTCAGACTATCTCGTTTTTGTCTCATATTCAACAATGTGGAAGAACCTGGAATATACGGTGATAAAGCTACTGTATCATTAATGTTATCTGTTAAAGTCTCAACAGTTGGCCCTTCATTTACACTACTTTCATTATCATGGTTTATAATAAATTGAGACATGTCGTCTTTTTGAGTCCAGCGAACATAACATTCCCAAGGAGACCTTTCATAACCAGTAATTAAACCTCGAGAAGAATTCCACGCATCAGCTATCAAATCCCAATTATATTGATATTTCTTTGTTAAGGACATCAATAATTCGTCATCTTCAGGATACCAAACTGCTGTTGAGTCTTGATCCTTTTTTGGTGCATTTACGCGAATCTGAACTTGTTTCTCAAATGATATATGAGACGTAAACACTAAATAATAATATGAATTTAGAATTGTAAACTACATATGCAAAAAAAAAAAAAATTTATACAAATAATAGGAACTTACAGATTGATTCCTCATATTGGCTATCATTCGTCTCCTCTTCGTTTTCCAATTTGATTCTCTTTGATTGTTGATGATCTTCGTTCTCATACCGTCTCTTATTAGATTTTTCTATATAATTTAATAAAATTACATTCTTAATTTTTCTTTTTAAACAAAAAAAAATCGTAAATTTTTACCTTTCGGAGGTTTTCGCCACAAGCATTTTGAAATTGGCATAATTTTATAACAATGAATTTCATCAAAATAGATATCATTTTCCGAAGGTACAGGTGGTCCATACACGGGTAAATCTGGAAATATAGAGTCCACTTCATATATTTGCTGATCAGATCCTTCTAAACGACATATAAGTGTATCCTGTGGTAAATTAAATACTTTTTGCCGTAAACTTTGTAAGACATGAGGTGCTATTGGAGGTGGCATTTTGATTGAATCATTATCCTTCAGATTTTCTTGGTTGGCACCAATTCTTGCTGATGAGTCATCATCGACAGATTCAACATCTATCATTACGTCATCCGTAGATGATGACCATTTGTTATCTTGTGATACATATCCGTTTGTATTATAGTCCTCCGGTTCGCTTTTAATCAATATACGATCATCAATATCTGACGTGATAAAATTAATTAATAACTATGATTAATAACTAAAGCAAATTCATAAAAATAACAACTTAAATACCCATAAAAGGATCTGTATCGCGCAAAGTACAAGATGGTGGCGTTGACAAAGACCGTTGTTTAAGATCACCCCTCTAAAGTAAGTTGGGTAATCTAGATCATTTGAAATATAATTTATAAACAAATATTAATTTTAATAGTTACTTACCTTCACGCATACAGTTGATTTATCTTCGACCATATGCCAATCTTGAACTGCTAATGCTAATACATATGCAGTTTTTATTTTTTGTTTCCTTTCTTCTCTAAAGTCAGTTCGCATCCAAACCTAAATAAAAAATTTATCAAACTTCAAATAAATGAAAACATTAATATGCTATATCAAATATTACATACCATCTCTTCAAGTAAATAATCCCAGTGAGTTTTATATCTCGGTGGATCTCTGAATGGCTCAATTTGTTTACGGCTCCAGAGTCCTGATCGCTTTAATTCCTCGATGCGCTCTATTACTCGAGCATACTTAACTTCTTCAATAGCAACCTTGTTGATTTTTGAAAAAATTAGAAATGATCAAGGTTCAATCAATAAAATTCTATGTTATATAATTACCCTCCATTCCGAAGTTGTAATAGCCTTTTTTGGAGGTTGTAATGACTTATATACTGGGTTATTGTTGAAATTTATTATAATCGTTTCTCTATCAAAAGATCTAGATAGATTCGCATCAATTCGTCCCGTAGAAGTTGAAGAAAGTCTTCCTTCTGACAACAAAATATTATTATTCGTTCGCTGAAATGATTGTTTCCTTTGTGGTATATTCAATCTTATTGGTATTCTGGGAGTTGTAGTTGAAGTTGGAGAAGTCGAAGACGAGAGGCTGCTTCCACGCTGCCGTATTTTATAAAAAAATAAAGGTGGTGGTAGTGATACATTAAATAGAAACTTTATTAAAAGAATTTAGAAGGAATTTCATGCATACCTCCGCTTCCTTTAGTATTTCGTCCACGGTCTTGGGATTTATTGCACCGCTTGCGGCCCTGGTTATCATTCTTTCCGTAGTTGGTATCGAGGCCCTCTTTTTCTTTGTTTGTATAGTTTGGTCACCTTGTGTTTGTGACTGAATGTTTATTTGTTGAGACTGTTGAATATTTTCGGCGGTATTTGAAGTTTGATTTGTAGCGTTATCAATAGAAGCAATTTTCGTTGAACTAACGAGAGAAATTGAAAATTTACTAATTTAATAATATTTGATTATCATAAAATTTTATGTTGTTTCACAAAATACATTATCCATAAAAAGCCACCAAAACTACATTTTCCCACGGATGTGACACCAACCTTTTATCGACCTCTAAATTTTTTTCTCCTAATTTATGACTTTGCAAAAAATCTTCTAATTGATTTGAATAATCGTCTTTCGAAGTATCAATTATCTCTATATATCTCTCTACCTCTGTTTCTGTTTCTGTGTATGTATCTGTACCACCAGATTTACTTAACATATTCATATAAAATAGGTGCTCCAATGTGGACTTGTGCCTAACAAGTAGTTTTCTATTTAAAAAAATAATATACATTATAAAAGCAATGTATCTACTATTTAAAATTCATGAAAATCAATCTTTACGCGAAATTACTTTAACTTTTGGTTTCTAACTTCTTCTGCCTTATTACGAAGTTCCTTTATTTGCAGCTAAATTAGGAAATTATTAAGACAAATACTTTAGTCAAGTCTTATTTAAGTCACGTGATAACGAAACGACAGTAATGTTCCGCAGTAATAATACTTCAAAAATCTTCAAATACATTGAGCTTTTAAAACTTTCCGACTGAAGAATAAACTCTTTTGCATATTGCTCATTTTTTTTTCAAAGTTAATTTGACACTGACATCAAAAAACTTTGTTTCAGGCAGTGAAAAGTTTTTTTTAAAAAAAGAAACTTACTGTAAGAGATCCATCACTGGCATCATGAATTTCCTTCCCCTTTAAAGAGTCTGAAGCATCTAGTTCCATAATAATATTATATATATATAAAGATATAAAGACTTGGGCTCGCTGGCCCTCTTTTAATCATTACAAGCAGCAACAAAAAAGAATTTTTTTTAGCGGCTTAGAAGTTTTCTAGTTTTGTTTGATGTAATCCAAGTGACGTACGTACCAACGTTGTGTTGTTTTTTTTTTTAGTGAAAAGGAAAATTGTGTTCATGTGCGGTTAAAATAGGATTTCGAAATTTCCGGAAAATTTTCAAAAAATTTTCCGATCGATTTGGTACAAGTTGGAGAAGAGAATGATTCGTGTATTTCTTCTTCTGGAATTTATGAAATTTTTTCTAGAAATTTCCGAAAGAGCAACAATCATATGACATAACTTTCAAAGTTGTCATATGACTGATAAAATAAGATATCGATGTTGAATAAGCCACCATTAAAAAAAAATTTTTTTTTATAAAAAAGTTTTTTACGTAAAATGTCCTTTTCCCAAGATACTTCCAATATTCATTATGATGATAGATTTTATCAATCTTCACCAAATCAATTTGGCACAGACCCCGTGGCAGTTTCAGATTTTTTAGCAAGGGTGAATTTAGGACCAACCCAATTAAGAGAAATCGCTGGTCTTGGAGCGGTTGATTATTTGAAATTTGATGAACAAGTTGTCACACCAGGAGCTCTTCCTAGTCGAGGAACGTTAGACGACCTATGTTATGGTACAGGGACAACATATTTGGCTGGTACGGCTCAAGTGATCTGTTTTTATTCTTTTTTTTGATTTTGTAATAAAGTTCTTAATCTATTTTGTAGGCTTAACATTTGGTGGAGCCTGGGGTTTAATGGAGGGTTTACGTGGACATTCGCCTAATTTCAAATTACGTTTAAACATAGTCCTTAATTCTATCACTCGACGAGGACCATTCCTTGGAAATTCTTGTGGAATTCTTGGCAAGTTGAATAAATATTAATTGCTTTTTTTAATTTTTGGTTTTTTTATGTCTATTTTCTGATTGCTTTTAATGCTCATTAAAATAATAGCTATGGGATATAATAGCATTAATGGTATTATTGACAACATAAGAGGAAAGCATGAATCAGTAAATAATATCGCATCTGGGGCGTTAGTAGGGTTGCTCTTTAAATCTACAGGTATTTCTTCATGATTTCTTGTATTTAATATAATTTATATATTTATTTTTAATATTATTTAATATTTAGCTGGTTTAAGAGCAGCTGGTACTGCTTCAGCAATTTGTGCAGCTACTGCAGGGACATGGACTTTGGCAAAAAAATATTTCTTTAAACATTAGATTATACATATAGTTTTTTAGGATATTTAATTAAAAATTAGAAAATTAAAAATGGGCGCGTTTAAAAAAGTAATCTTATGACAATAAAAAAGCATCGATTCGCGTCATAATGCAAAAGGATTTTTGTTATTTGTAATCAACATTAAATTTTAATAATTTACATAATTAATTAATTATTCAATAATTTTACAATTAAATATTATAATTTTTTTTAACCTTTTTATGGATGAGAGCTGAATATGCCATGAAAATTTATATTAAATCGGTTTGCATCTCATCAGTTCATGCGTCGCTTAAATTAAGATATTTAATTAAGGATAATGTATTGGATTAGAATAGCATTATGTCCTATTTGGATTTTCTAATCTTTATTAAAAAAAAAAAATTTGACCTTTTATTATAGTGAGAATACAAAAATTATTTTAATTTATTATAATAAAACACATTTTATTTTTCTATAAACACGCTTTTGTTTTAAACTTACTAAGCATAATAATCTTAAAACAAAAATTAAAAGGTATAATAGTGTTAATGTGTATTCTCATTTTCAGACTAACTATTAGATAAGAAACAAAACTTTTATATTTTTTCTGCTAATATTTTATAATGTTATAAAATCTTTTGCTTCAAATCAAAGTCCTATATTACTGCATCCTATTATTAGATAAATCAAAATATAAAAATATTTGTCATTAAATTAATATAATTATGATTTACAATTTTAATGTTAGTTAATTCTAAAATTCATAATAATATTAATACGTGATTCTAATCTATTGCAATAATTAAATAAGATATTTGAGTAGTTATTTATTTTAATTTAAATAGCAATATTTATAAAACACATCTTAATTTACATTTACTTTATAAAGATGATATTATTTAAATAAAGTAGTTATTATTAATAAAACAAAAATCATAAGCAAAATAAAAAAAAAGAGAGGCCAATTGCTTTTAAACTATGAAAATTAACTTATATTTATAATATTTATTATTTATATTTATATAAGCATTAATTATATAAAAAGTTAAAACTAATCTTTAATTTATTATATTTATCTAATATATTCATTATATCAGTATATCAGAAATAGTAATATATTAGATCAGATATATTTATTACATCTAAAGATGCCAGCTGAAACTCCCTCAAAATAATTTCGTCATATCCCTTACTATGTTTTTAATATAGTTTCGGCTAATTTCGGGTTTCGTCGTACCCCTCACTATGTTTTAATATAGTTTCTACTGTTTATTAATTGCCTTTTTTGAGTTTCGTCCCTCGTCTTTAATTACATCATATATATTACAGTATATTTTTCTGTTAACATTAGTGATTCTTGATAAAATTACCTTTCTTAATATAATAAAACTAATAAAACTAAAGTGATGAAATTAGTTTTATATAAATAATAAAACTATTTAGTAATATACATTAAAAAATATAATAATTTTATATTTATTCATATAAAAATATTAAAAAGATGAATTCTTTTAATAAGACTACTTTTTAATAAAAAAGGGTTTAGGTAAATATCATTAATTAACATTATATTTAATTTAAATTAATATTATTTTAAATAATTAATTATATTATAATTGCTTAAAAAATTAAATTCTATATCATTAATTTATTAAATATTACATATTAAAAGTTACAATATATCAGAAATTAACTGATTTAAAGGAAGAATAGGTAAATCAGTTATTAATTAGTCTATCCCTTAGATTGTAGAGTTTTACAGGCAAATTTGTCTACTTATTTACTATAAATTCTCTTCTGATTTTTTTTAAAAAAAATTTTTTTAAATTAATTATATAAATATGTAATATATTATAATAAGTTTTATATTTTAATTATATAATAAAAAATATAATGTTACTTAGAAGCTAAAAATTTGTAATTTTTAAAAAAAATTTATTTTAAAA